GGTTGTAAAAAGAAAAAAATAAAAATAAATAGAAAAATCCCAAATTCACCAACTAACTCTACACCTTAAAGAACTAGAGAAAAAGCAACAAACAATGCCTAAGCCACATATTAGACGAGAAATAATTAAGATTAGAGCAGAGATCAATGAATTAGAAACCAGAAACACAGTAGATCAGATCAACGAAACTAGAAGCTGGTTCTTTGACAGAATTAATAAGATTGCTAAACCACTGGCGAGACTTATCCAAAAGAGAAGAGAAAGGACCCAAATTAATAAAATTATGAATGAAAGGGGAGAGATCACGACTAACACCAAGGAAATAGAAACAATTATTAGAAATTATTATCAACAACTATATGCCAATAAACTGAGCAATCTGGATGAAATGGAGGCCTTCCTGGAAACCTGGAAACTGCCAAGACTGAAAGAGGAAGAAATTGACAACCTGAATAGGACAATAACCAGTAATGAGATTGAAGTAGTGATCAAAACCCTCCCAAGAGTCCAGGGCCTGATGGATTCCCTGGGGAATTCTACCAAACATTCAAAGAAGACATAATACCTATTCTCCTGAAGCTGTTTCAAAAAAATAGAAACAGAAGGAAAACTTCCAGACTCATTCTATGAGGCCAGCATTACCTTAATCCCCAAACCAGACAAAGACCCCATCAAAAAGGAGAATTTCAGACCAATATCCCTGATGAATATGGATTCCAAAATCCTCAACAAAATCCTAGTAATAGGACCCAACAATACATTAAAAGGATCATCCACCACGACCAAGTGGGATTTATCCCCGGGATGCAAGGGTGGTTCAACATTCACAAACCAATCAATGTGATAGAACACATTAATAAGAGGAGGGAGAAGAACCATATGGTCCTCTCCATTGATGCAGAAAAAGCATTTGACAAAATACAACATCCTTTCCTGATTAAAACTCTTCAGAGTATAGGGATAGAGGGAACATTCATCAAGTTCATAAAATCCATCTATGAAAAACCCACAGCGAATATCATCCTCAATGGGGAAAAGCTGAGAGCCTTTCCCTTAAGATCAGGAACACATCAAGGGTGCCCACTCTCACCACTGTTGTTCAACATAGTACTAGAAGTCCTAGCAACAGCAATCAGACAACAAAAAGAAATAAGAGGTATTCAAATTGGCAAAGAAGTCAAACTCTCTCTTTTCGCAGATGACATGACACTTTATGAGGAAAACCCAAAAGACTCCACCCCCAAATTACTAGATCTCATCCAGCAATTCAGTAATGTGGCAGGATACAAAATCAATGCACAGAAATCAGTTGCTTTCTTATACACTAACAACGCAACTGTAGAAAGAGAAATTAGAGAATCAATTCCATTTACAATAGCACCAAAAACCATAAGATACCTCGGAATAAACCTAACCAAAGAGGTAAAGGATCTATACTCTAGGAACTACAGAACACTCATGAAAGAAATTGAAGAAGACACAAAAAGATGGAAAAACATTCCATGCTCATGGATCAGAACAATAAACATTGTTAAAATGTTTATACTACCCAGAGCAATCTATACCTTCAATGCCATCCCGATCAAAATTCCAATGACATTTTTCAAAGTGCTGGAACAAACATTCCTAAAATTTGTATGGAATCAGAAAAGACCCCGAATCGCCAAGGAAATGTTGAAAAAGAAAAACAAAGCTGGGGGCATCACAGTGCCAGACTTCAAGCTCTATTACAAAGCAGTGATCACCAAGACAGCATGGTAGTGGCACAAAAACAGACATATAGACCAACAGAACAGAAATAGAGAGCCAAGATATGGACCTCAACCCTATGGTCAAATAATCTTCGACAAAGCAGGAAAAAATAAGCAATGGAAAAAAAAGACAGTCTCTTCAATAAATGGTGCTGGGAAAATTGGACAGCCACATGCAGAAGAATGAAACCTGACCACTCTCTAACACCATACCCAAAGATAAACTCAAAATGGATGAAAGACCTCAATGTGAGACAGGAATCCATCAAAATCCTAGAGGAGAACATAGGCAATAACCTCTTTAACATCAGCCACAGCAACTTCCTTCAAGATACATCTCCAAAAGCTAGTGAAACAAAAGCAAAAATGAACTTTTGGGACTTCATCAAGATAAAAAGCTTCTGCACAGCAAAGGATACAGTCAACAAAACAAAGAGGCAAACCCACAGAATGGGAGAAGATATTTGCAAATGACACTACAGATAAAGGGCTGGTATCCATGATCTATAAAGAACTTCTCAAATTCAACACCCAAAAAACAAATAATCAAGTCAAAAAATGGACAGAAGACAGGAAAAGACACTTCTCTGAAGAAAACATACAAATGGCTAACAGACACATGAAAAAATGTTCATCATCATTAGCCATCAGGGAAATTCAAATGAAAACTACACTGAGATACCACCTTACACCAGTTAGAATGGCAAAAATTGACAAGGCAAGAAACAACAAATGTTGGAAAGGTTGTGGAGAAAGGGGAACCCTCTTACACTGTTGGTGGGAATGAAAGTTGGTACAGCCACTTTGGAAAACAGAGTGGAGGTGCCTCAAAAAATTAAAAATAGAGCTACTATATGACCCAGCAATTGCACTCCTGGGTATTTACCCCAAAGACACAGATGTAGTGAAAAGAAGGGCCATATGCACCCCAATGTTCATAGCAGCAATGTCCGCAATAGCCAAACTGTGGAAAGAGCCGAGATGCCCTTCAACAGATGAATGGATAAAGAAGATGTGGTCCATATATACAATGGAATATTACTCAGCCATCAGAAATGATGAACACCCAACTTTTACATCAACATTGATGGGAGTGGAGGAGATTATACTAAATTAAATAAGTCAAGCAGAGAAAGTCAATTATCACACGGTTTCACTTATTTGTGGAACATAAGGAATAGCATGGAGGACATTAGGAGAAAGAAGGGAAAAATGAAGGGGGGGAAATCGGAGGGAGAGATGAACCATGAGAGACGATGGACTCTGAGAAACAAACTGAGGGTTCTAGAGGGGAAGGGGGTGGGGGGATAGGTTAGCCTGGTGATGGGTATTAAGGAGGGCACGTACTGCATGGAGCACTGGGTGTTATACACAAACAATGGATCGTGGATCACCACATCAAAAACTAATGATGTAATGTATGGTGATTAACATAACATAATAAAATAAAATTAAAAAAAAAAAAAGAGGGATGCATACTCTTTACAAGCCAAATATGCAAGTAGAAAAGCTAACCCACACCAACAAGAAGAGAGCCCCGAGAGAGGATGGCTTCCACATTAGTGTGCAAACCAGCAACACACACAGCTTTGAATCTGCCACACCACCAAAGGGCTCTGTCATGAAGGACTTACAAGAGAAGAGCATCCTAGAAAATTCTAATAACTGTTCATTGGTAACGCCTCAACTATGAAGAAAATATACTCCCTGGGAAAGACTTACATGGCCCTAGTGGAAAGCCATTATGTGATTTTCTTTTTTAAGTTAAATATTCCTGGATACTGACTTAAGACACACTAGGAAGGGAATAAAAAAGCCTAAGGGACAGTCTCTGGCCCAAAAGGCACTTGTAGCAGCACTGAAAACCCTTTATCATACATGCACACAAAAGCATCTAAAACATTAGGAACAAAACCACACAACAGCAGACACCCCACATCAATACAAAACTGGTTGACGAATCAGTCACATAGATACTATGTAAGGTGTTCAACGAGGAGGGGAAGAAAAAAGAAATCACTATCATCTAAGATAGATTAAGAGAGGGCTTCACACATTGCAAGGGGGGCTCAGCACACACACAGATTGCAGGGGAGGCTCAGCACACACACACAGATATGCAGGGGAGGCTCAGCACACACACACAGATTGCAGGGGAGGCTCAGCACACACACACACAGATTGCAGGGGAGGCTGAGCACACACACACAGATTGCAGGGGAGGCTGAGCACACACACAAATTGCAGGGGAGGCTCAGCACACACACACACAGATTGCAGGGGAGGCTCAGCACACACACACACAGATTGCAGGGGAGGCTCAGCACACACACACAGATTGCAGGGGAGGCTCAGCACACACACACAGATTGTAGGGGAGGCTGAGCACACACACAGATTGCAGGGGAGGCTCAGCATACACACACACAGATTGCAGGGGAGGCTCAGCACACACACACAGATTGCAGGGGAGGCTCAGCACACACACACAGATTGCAGGGGAGGCTCAGCACACACATACACAGATTGCAGGGGAGGCTCAGCACACACACACACACACATACACACACACACACATACACACTGCCCCCACTGAGAGCTGCACGTGTAAGAGAAACCATGGGACACCAGAGTGCCTGGCCAGCTCAAGGGAGAGTGAACTAGCTGACTAGTGTTATGCCTCCTTGTGGCGGCAACAGAAGCGTATTAACCCCATACAACAGTGTCTGTGGGGGTTTGTGGATAAAGATCTCCCTGCTTGAATTACCATACACGTAAAGCAAACAAAATTGGCATAAGGAGAACTTTAGATATATTAAATCAAACAGGTGTCTATCTTCACGTAAAGCCATCAACTATATCCGGTATTTTTTCACAGAAACCCAAAACCTATCGCTATCCATATGTAAATAGGAAAGTTAAAGCACGAACGTTAACACCAACAATCCCAGTCCTGTGGGTACGGGAGACTTTGCTTCCTTGCTTCGAAGTAGGAATTAAAAAAAAAAAAGGGCGCCTGGGTGGCTCAGTTGGTTAGGCAACTGCCTTCGGCTCGGGTCATGATCCTGGAGTCCCAGGATCGAGTCCCGCATGGGGCTCCCTGCTCGGCAGGGAGTCTGCTTCTCCCTCTGACCCTCCTCCCTCTCATGCTCTCTGTATCTCATTCTGTCTCAAATAAATAAATAAATAATCTTAAAAAAAAAAAAAAAAAAAACCACAGCAAACAGTTACCATTTTTTTATGTGTTACTTTTATAATTAAAAAAATTTTTATTTTAGAGATGCACACAATTTTTCATTTACATATGGGATATCACTGGAAGAATCATAAGAAAACGGTAACAGAAGATGGGGTGACACAATGGTCAAGGGTCAGATCTACCTCCCACCGTATCCCTTTCTGCAGCTTTTGAATCCAGTACCATGTTTATTATCTATTTAAGAACAATACCATTTCTGAAAACCCACAGTGATGTAAAACCTGAAGGACACTTACGTGCCCCTCACGTCGGCCCTGCCAGCTGCTGCCGCGTGTGGCAAGATCCCCAGCTAACCGTGCGTCTTCTCCCCTGGCCGCTGTGAGCTCTGTTGAAGCCTTGAGTGTGAACTGAAAGAACGGGTCTTTAGGAGATCGAGAAGGCTCTTGTCAGGGAGACTGGACGCGGATTAGTGAGCCAAGGATGTCCCCGGGCAGGCCGTGTGTGGCCACCGAGCGTTCCCGCACACCGGGCCCTTGATCCGGGCGCCAGGCGCCTGGGCCCCACAGCTTCCCCGTGCCACTGCCTCTGCCTCCTCAGGCGGCCCTCCCAGCCTTGGTGGCCCGGGTCCGCCCTCTGATGCTTTTGCTCTAAGTGCTCCCGTGACTCCTGCTGCGCATCCTCTCTTAAAGCTAAGTCAACCTGGGCGGAGGCATCTGAACTAAATAAAGCACCACAGTACTCTCTTTATCCAGTACAAGTCATGGAATTAACAATGAGCTGCTTATTAAGCCACTAGGGAACTCAAGAATACAAATATGACCTTTTAAAAACCAGTGACAGAATTTAGCTTTACGGGGCTGTGGCCAAGCAAAGTTGACAGTTAAAGTCCTCCGTCACTTGTCACAGTTACAAACTGGTCATAGCAAGTAGGCAGGCTGTAAGAAGAACAGTCACACAAGCCCTTGCAAAAATTTTAATTATGAAAGTGTTTTACATGGGGAAACCAGACTTACTGTGGTGATCATTTACAGTGTATACAAATATCAAATCACTACGTTGTAGTCTTCAAACTAATATAATGTTATCTGTCATTTAGAACTCAAAAAAAAAAAGCAACACAAAAGTAAAAAAAAAGTGTTTTAAAAAATGTATCCACTCATTTTAATCAGAATTCCTAGTTTGTTTTTTAACCTTGTTCCATTCTACAGAGCATAAATATTAAATGCTTATAAAACACACTTCATTTGAAATGCTTTAAGTATAAAACACAGAATTCAAGCATAAAACAATGCATTATGATCCCATGAATACATTTACAAAACACAGTAACGAAAAGTTAACAACTTCAAACAAGTAGATAATACTATACGCAGGCTCGCGTATGACCTTTTAAACAGAGGAGGAAAACCACACAAGCAATGTCACTTAGTGTTATTCTTTTAGCAGGACTACGGGAGACTTCAAACTCTGGTAGTGGTATTAAAATTAAATCGCTTTCTAATCTGGATCAGAAATAGTGCTAAGTCTTTTTACTGTACTTAAGTTAGAAAATTTTGACTTTTCAGTTGGCAATGTGACCTTTAAAGTACGCCAATGGTGCACACCCCCAGTAACGTGCCACCAAGGCCCCTTCTTGTGACAAACCCAGGACTTGCTGGCCGGGTCACACGTGGGAGAGCCTGGCCTTCCAGCTCGGTGACAAGTGTACAAAATCAGGACTCTCGTATCTCACATAAAATCCAAGAACAAACACATTCAACAAAAAAACTAACCTGTGTGCTTTTGTTTCCTTTAAAAAAAAAAAAAAAGCATCAATCAGATTTGTAACCTCCTCAGCGGAAATCCACTCCCTAAGATGTCACAGTTGCATCTGTCTTCCTTCAGCTGAAAGGGTGGAGCACAATCGCCACAACCTTGTTACAGACTAAAATCCAACAGGTAATCCCAACGCCACCTGGAAATACAGACGCTCACCGTCAGAAGGCATGCCAACAGTCCCGCCTGCATTTCCTGCCTCTGCTACCCTTAACTCACAGGAAATCAACCCTTCTGCAGCAGCGCTCGGCTAAGAAAGCCTAGGTGTGTGCTTCCTGGATTCAGATTCAACAGGCCTCCTCCTGATTCACAGGGCTGCCCTCCTTACTGAACAGGAATCACACAGAACAGCTACCGGAGATGTGCATTGTCATGTATGATATTAACAAACGGTAAAACCGCCCAGGAAGACTGTTTTTCCTTCTCAAAAAAGCATTATGAACACAGACAGCAGTGCCTACCCATGCCTTTCTTGCCCAGCTGGTGATGGAGAAAAAGGAAGTCAGGCAGCAGGAGTGGCCGATGGCCCTCTGGATGCCCGGAAGGGCGTCCTCACGCTCTCCTGCTCAGCAGCACTGACAGCCCATGGGCACAGTGCCCACAAGGTTGGGTGGGGGGAGGAGGGGGCAGGGTGGAGGGCGTGATGAAACTGGGATCTCTGCAACAGTCACTCCTCTTCACTCAGTAATTCACCTCCAGCAACAGATCACAACCGAAGGCTGAATGACAGGGATGTGTGCGGCATGCAGCATTATTCCTGATAGTAAGGAATTAGGACCTAAATATGTATCTTTTATCAGGGGAATTAGTAAATCATGATATATCCCAATGAAGAGCAAATTATTCAAAATTTCTTAAAAAGTTTAATGATATGGGAAAGGGTTTACACTATAAAGTAAAAAGGGGTCTAAAACTGTATGTGCCAGATGATCTTAGTTGTATAAAATAAATAGAAAAAAAGGGTGGAAAAACATACCACAAAGAGAGGTATCTACAGCTTATGTTTTTAAATTGTTCCTGTATTTCTAATCATTCTACAATGATATGTACCACTTTTTTTTTTTAAGATTTTATTTATTTATTTGAGAGAGAGAGAAAGAGCATGAGCAGGGAGGAGAGGGAGAAGCAGGCTACCCCCTGAGCAGGGAGCCCAATGGGGGACTTGATCCCAGGACCCTGAGAACATGACCTGAGCCGAAGGCAGCCGCTTAACCGACTGAGCCACCCAGGCACCCAATATGTACTACTTTTAACACCCAAAGGATATATATTTTTTTAATTTTATTTATTTATTTATTCATGAAAGTCAGAGAGAGAGAGGCAGAGGCAGAGGGAGAGAAGCAGGCTCCCCGCCTAGCAGGGAGTCCGATGCGGGACTCGATCCCAGGACCCTGGGATCATGACCTAAGCCAAAGGCAGACGCTTAACCGTCTGAGCCACCCAGGCGCCCCACACCCAAAGGATATTATTACCTTTCAGAAATAAAAGAATGACCAATAGCAGTACATGCTGGAGAGAGGCCAAGCGAAAGAAACGAAGAGAGGTCACAGAACCTAGGAACTAGAGATCGGGGTTTCACTGAACAGGGTATCAGACAAGGTATGGGCTGACATTCTGCAAGCAGACTCAGGGTGAACTCCAGCTCTGCTACTTAACATTTCAGTGGCACTGGACAAGGTAAGTAACTTCTCTAGCCCTGTTTCTTCACCGTGAGCCTTGTGCAAGGCCAAGACAAAGTACTCTCACTAGTCAATGGATGAGCTTGGGTTCCTTCACCTTGTACCCCACACGTCTACAGAAGCCTATCCGTATTCTTCTGCTCTGGTTTCCAGAAACCTCTTACCTGCTACTCTAGTCGGAAATGCTACCAGGCGGTCTAGCGGAGTGATCCACTTGCTCGGTACCACAGCCACGGGGACGGAGTAGTACTTCCAGATGAGCGACACCATCAGGGCAGCCTGCGAAGACAGTGCTGGTGAGTGCAGCAACCCACCGGCCACACGCCCAGTGACCAAGGAGGACGACAGACGGGCAAACACTAAGGAAACTCTCCAAACTGGTGACTTCAAGCCCCACCAATCCAGTCCTTGCAGGACACAGACACATCCACACAGCCACTAATTTGCTGGCACCCCGAAACAAAGTGTCTGTCGAATTAAAGACTAGTTCACGGGGCGCCTGGTGGCTCAGTCGTTAAGCATCTGCCTTCGGCTCGGGTCATGATCCCAGGGTCCTGGGATCGAGCCCCGCGTCGGGCTCCCTGCTCAGCGGGAAGCCTGCTTCTCCCTCTCCCCCTGCTTGTGTTCCCTCTCTTGCTGTGTGTCAAATAAATAAATAAAATCTTTAAAAATAAGTAAATAAAGAGAGACTAGTAGTTCCCAGGACACCTAGAACACACTGCTGCCAAGTCGGGTAGCCTTCTTAGTGGATTGCTGTTTTACTGTTTTAATCTGAATAATAAATATACACTATTAAATTAGCTGATAAATTAACCAAGGCCTCCTATAACAAAGGTATTCTTTTCTCACTGAGCATCTCCTTCAAGTAGCTGGCCTACGATAAGTACACCCTATTAGTGACAAAAGCAATCCCCACCCGGACAGTGAGAAGCACTCGCCACGTCTGCACGCCGCACAACAAGCAATGACCCAAACTGACCACCTTAGAAAATGCAACGTCTAAATAAGCTTCTCTCGGGGCGCCTGGGTGGCTCAGTCGGTTGGGCGACTGCCTTCGGCTCGGGTCGTGATCCTGGAGTCCCGGGATCGAGTCCCGCGTCAGGGAGCCCGCTTCTCCCTCTGACCCTCCCCCCTCTCATGTGCTCTCTCTCTCAAATGAATAAATAAAATCTTTAAAAATAATAATAAAATAAATAAATAAATAAATAAATAAATAAATAAATAAGCTTCTCTCACTTCCCCGCAGGCTCCCCAAACTGCACTGGAATAAAGGCGATAAAGGCAAGAGCCCCAGAGAAGCTACTCCAGCATTCATGTGCTAAAAAACCCCCATGTTTCACAACTCAAGAGACTTTCTTGGAACCCTCGTGCACTGCTGGTGGGAATGCAAGCTGGTGCAGCCCCTGTGGAAACAGTACAGACGTTCCTCAGAAAGTTAAAAATAGAAATACCATAGGACCCAGTCATTCTCCTACTGAGTATTTGCCCAAAGAAAACAAAAACACTCATTTGAAAAGATACATGCACCCCTATGTTTACTGCAGCATTATTTACAGTAGCCAGGACATGGAAGCAGCCCAAGTGTCCATCGATAGATGGACGGACAAAGAGGAGGTGGTGTATTTATATATATTTACACACATACATACACAGACAGTGGAATACTACTCAGCCACTAAAAGGGATGAGATCTTGCTGTTTGTAACATGGATGGATCTAGAAGGTATAACGCTATGTGAAATAAGTCAGAGAGAGGAAGACAAATACCATATCATTTCACTCATATGTGGAATCTAAAAAATAAAACGAATAAACAAAAAGCAGACCTATAAATACAGAGAACAAACTGATGGTTGCCAGAGGGAAGAGGAGTAGAGGGATAGTAGATAAAGGAGATTAAGAGGTACAAACTTCCCGTTCCAAAATAAATAAGTCATGGAGATGAAAAGTACAGCAGAGGAAATGTAGTCAGTGATATCGTAACCACGTTGCACGATGAGGGATGGTGATTACACTTATCGTGGTGAGCACTGAGCAACGCAGAGAATTGCTGATTCATTACGTTGTACACCTGAAACTAATAGGACACTGTACGTTAACTGTACTTCAATTTGAAACCAGAGAGAGGGAAAGGCTTTCTTTTAGCCTAACTTATAAACGCACAGCGTTCGGTTCCATACCCACCGGAGAGCACAGCACAGCCACGGAAAGTGGAAAAGCCTGAACTCTCAGACCTGGATTCTGGGGGCCACAGAGCCCTGGAGGACAGTCCGTTATCAACTTTAAAGACCCCAGGTAACACAACAGTGAACTTACTTGCAATACATAGAAGGCAACACTTATAACCCATTTTATCTTGGCCAACTGAGCTGTCCGAGCTTTCACTGAAAGGAAAAACAGGATGAAATCATTGTATCAGTCCTGAAGAAAAAGGAAAATATTCAAATACACAGAAATGTTATTCTCCTCTTATAAAATATCTTCTAATCATGTTGTGTAGCATTTGCTCAGTATATTTAGAAAATATAAAACAGAATTTCTTAAAAGCCACACATCCATTCATTAAAATAGAGTCACGCACAGATTGTAAGATTTGAAGCTTTAATTTTGAACACCCTTAAAACTATCCGTCTACACCAGAGATTCTTTTTATAGTGTACTTACCAACAGGACTACGTTTGCTTCCCAGGTCTCCCTGTCTACACAGTACACTAACCCACACGTGGGAGCCTAGCTTGTCCTGGGCCTGGGGGGCCCTCCGTATGTCTTACTAGCCTGGAGAAAGCTGTCTCACTGTGCGAGTTCCCAGCACGTGGGTGGAAATGTCTTCATCAGAGGAGACTGTTAGGGACGGTGGCGACCACAGCGATGAACAAGACCTGATCCTGACCCTGTCAGTCTATTCTCGGATAAGGACACTCTGGGCACATTTGAGAGCGTTCACAAAAGCCCTTGGGCATCCACTGTGACACTTTCTCTAGGCTTATCTTGAAAAGTGTTGAGGGACGCCTGGGTGGCTCAGATGGTTAAGCCTCTGCCTTCGGCTCAGGTCATGATCTCAGGGTCCTGGGATCGAGTCCCACATCGGGATCTCTGCTCAGCAGGGAGCCTGCTTCTCCCTCTGCCGCTCCCCCTGCTTGTGCTCGCTCGCTCTCTCTCTCTGACAAATAAATAAAATCTTAAAAAAAAAAAATAAAGAAAGAGAAGCGTTTAATTTGAAAATGTCTACCTACAGAAACAGAAAAAAGCTAAGAGGATGTTGTTTCTGTGTTTAGGAAGCAAAGGTTCACCGGCAAATAAAGAGAAAGTAATCATGACTACTGAGTTTCTTCTGGACAAACATTGAGAACATCTAAGAATCAAAGCATATATCCTACCAATCTTATAAAAAGACTTCTCTATTCGTCAGCCCCCATGGAGCTTTCCACACTAGAGCGAAACCAGTACCGTGAGTTTTAAGCTTATCCGTCATCTTGTTGATCTTTCTCTCTAGCCTGGCATATCTGGCGAATTCATCCATCATGTTGACAGTGGAGAGCTCCTGCTTCATGTCCTGGATCTCTGCTCTCATCTGTGCCTCCTGCTCAGCATCCTTCTGCAGCAGCCTGGACATCTGGTGGAGTGGACAGCTGCGGTCAGTGCCTTCCCACGGGGGGACAACTCCGCCCCATCCTACTGCTGCCACTTCCAGCCGGGCAGGCTGCCCTTTACCCGAACAGCCAGGCTCTGCGGCCTAGTCCTGCTGCCTCTATGACCACCATAAAGACAAAAACTCCCTCTGATGTGACTCACCGTTCTAAGTAGACGTTTCCTTTTGCAGACATGCCTACAGATCGCTCCAGCACAAATGTCTGTATCTTTCACTGTAACTGTAAAATTGTGATTATAAAGTGAAAACCAATTCCAGGCGTCAGTCAGGTTAACAGGACCACACATCCTCTTCCCTTGAAGAATTTAGTCCTAAATTAGGTAGGCAGAGGAAGGGGGGCGGTGCTAGTGAGGAGGGGGTGGCCCAGCAGCAGGACTTAATCCCTAGCACCATCAGGAGGGCATTCCCACAGAGGGGCCCCTGGCAAGGGAGGACAGAGCCAAGCATGGTGATGTGAGCATCTCCAGAAAGGGCAGCCTGGCATAGGACGCAGAGTGAGAGGCCTACAGGAAAAGAGGAAAGCACCCAGCCACCCCCAGCGACAGAGCCCAAGGGGGGCCGGCAGGCATGGGGGTAGGGCAGGAGCAGGCAGCAGTGGGGATGCGAGATCAATTACAAAGCACTGATCAAATCCAGTAAACATACTGAAAATAATGGGAGCCAGTTTTCTCACTCTCAGAACAAGGGGTTAGGAATATGGAAGAACCAGAATGAATCCTGCAGTGTTGAATTAGAATTGGAGGCATGGGTGTGAACTCGCGGTTTTTGGCAGGTAGAGAAATACAGACATAAATTTTGTGAAGGGGCGCCTCTGACAGCCAGACCCCACATGGGCCGTCCCCAGATGCCACTCACCCTCACATACAACTGCGGGGACGCTGGCAGGCGGGAGCCCAGGGACCAGATGGCAGTGGCCACTAGGTGGCGCCCGGCAGCCGGCCAGGATGCCTCAGGATCGCCCAACAGCAAGGGTGCGGTGAGGAGGGAGGGTGGTGGGGCTGCACCCCTCCCTTCGGACCCGCCCCAAGTGAAGGGTGAACGTGCCACGGCGCCAGATGAGATGCAATGAGAACATAACATCCCTTCTGCGACACGGGACAAAGATGTTCTAAGCATTCTGCAAACTCACTGCCCTTGCCATATTCAGAAAGGTCAGCCATACAAGTCAAGGAAATACCGGGAATCCTTCCAGACTGAAGAGACGTGGCAAGTATGTGCAATGCACAGTACTGGCCGGGATCCTTTTGCTACAAAGGACCTTGAGTGGGACAAGCGAAAACAGGAGCAGGTCAGTAGGAAGGTTCCTGATGGCTGTGCTGTGGACAAGGCACCTGTTTATACAGCAATGTGTCGGGGAATGCAGGGGCTCAGGTTGACAACTTATTTTCAAATGGTTCAGGAAACAAAATCAGTTCTTTGTATTGTATCTTAAGTATCACAAGTCCTCTGCACGCCCCACCTTTTCTGCACGTTTGTTTCAAAATTTTAAAAACAGATTAATGAAAAAAGATGAAAGGGGATAATGTATGTAAGTGTATGGGCACATAGCAAGTGCACAATAATTGAGTTTGTCCCTCCAGCTTGGGGTCCCCTCTGCACAACAGGGCAACTCTTCAAATAGAGCCGGGGAGCCGTGCCCCATCACGGGTCTCCCGGAGCGTCTGCGCAAGTGCGGGGTCCTGGGACCCTCTGAGGTGGCATTCTCTAGCGCCTGCACAATGAAGCCCTTTTCGTGGGGACAAAGGTCTCTCAAGGGCACCTGCACAAAGCGCAGTGTGTTTGCCCCTGCGCATCTTCCTGCAGGCTTCACGCCAAGAGTAGGGGTCTTCAAACCCAGCTCTGTCTTCGTCCCCTCTGCCCTAGCCTGACCACTACCCAACACTTGAACTAAAGGACATATATATGCCAACCTGATCCCCCCTAGAAACGAAAATAGGAATGGGCCAAATTTTCTTTAGAAAATCACAGAATCGGGCGCCTGGGTGGCTCAGTCGTTAAGCGTCCGCCTTCGGCTCAGGGCATGATCCCAGAGTCCTGGGATCGAGCCCCGCATCAGGCTCCCTGCTCGGTGGGAAGCCTGCTTCTCCCTCTCCCACTCCCCCTGCTTGTGTTCCTGCTCTCGCTCTCTCTCTCTCTGTCAAATAAATAAATAAAATCTTTAAAAAAAAAAAAAAATCACAGAATCATCTTTCAGAGCAAGTCTATAGATGTTGCTTAGCTTTATAAATCAAGAAACAGGCACAGGGTGGGGAAATAGATTTTTTGAGGTGATAGATATATTCCTTATCTTGATTGTGATGGTGGTTACCCTATGAATAAGTAGCCCAAAACTCATCAAACTGCCCACCTACCTAGAAACAGTGAATTTCACTGAATGCAAATTACACATCAATAAACCTGATGTTTAACACTAGATCTTCAAAAGAAGAAATAGAAGCACAAGCACATTACTTAACAGTATAGAGAACACACAAAAAAAATTAAAAACTGAAAAGACCAAAGATGTTTACTCAGGACTAGAAGGTGAGTGAGGGTGGGAAAATGAGCTTGTGGAGAAGTTTAGAATCTTATGGTTAAATTAGACAATTGTAGTTGGGAGGGAAAATGAATAAATTATGTCTGCAAGTACACAAAAATATTTGGAAGTGTTTAAATTTGCAAATAGGTACCTATATTAATCCAAGACTTCCTTATTAGTGACAGTTAAAATGTACTGGAACTATGAATTAAATTTTAAAATCTAATGAGATTTGAATTTAAGTGTTCTGAATATTAATTTTTCAAACAAAAATAAACCTCTGACCTCCTTATGTATTCAAAAGCACCTTCCAGGACATTAAACCTCCCACTTGACAGAAACAGATAAGCTACGTGGGGTACAGCTTTTCAAAGACCTGGAGATGGGTACACAAAGAATTCTCAAGCAGAAAACAAGTTTTTCAAAATTCTTATTAAGAGGACAGGCAGTGGAAGAATCTGGGGCGAAAACAAGGATAGAACCAATCATCCTTGTCACCCTTGTCCCCCAGACGCTGGCTGCCAGCCTGCATGAGCTCATAGTGTCCTACCAGACTCACCCTCAGATCCTGTCCAAGTTCCACATCCCTTTCCCAACAGACAAAATGTTACGTTTTGAACTTGGAGTCACACCAGGGAAGAGTCAAACTCCACTCCACCACTCAGTGGCTGGCATCTGGACTAGACCCATCTGAATTAATGTATAATGGCCTTTAAGCCCAAAGGTTCGTCCCTCCTGAAACACAGGGGGCACCAGGGGAATGACATGCTGGGGTTGCCCACTTAGATGTGTCCCTAATACTGGCGACGCACGGCTCATCCCGAGAAGGGACCAAGACTCCTGCGAAGCTGCAGACCCACAAGAGGGCCCCAGTTGGGAGCCCTCCTCACAGCACTGGTCCTGCGCACCTGGACGACCCCATCCACGAGGCCCCAACTGCGCATGTGCACCCAACCCCCCCTGCCCCCTCAATTACCCCCACAACTAATACTCGCGGGCCATCCTCACGCCTGGTGGTCCACAGAGGAACTCACGAGGCAGTGTGCTCCCCGGAAAGGGGGAGGGTCTCAGGAAGGCCCCTACAGCAGCAGGCAGGTCCTGCAGTGTCTGTCCCTGGCCTCAGAGGCCTGGGCCCCCACAAGGAAAGGGAGGCGGCCACTTTTCAGAGCAGAAAATGAAGGGAATTTCAAAGTCATCAAATATGAAAATGGCAGTCACCCCACAAGCCAGATCCCAGAGGGCAGCCTGCGCTGGGCCCATGCCCAGGGTCTGCGAAGTGGGGTGCCCCGGAAGGGAGGGGCTGTTACACCAGCGCAGCACCCACTCTCAGCCACGTCAATCCTGGGGCGCCTGCGTAGTGCGCCTCCCTACACCCCGCCTCCCACCGGAGTCCCCGGGGCGCATGCGCAGTGCACACAGCTCGCCAGGACGCTCGCTCTGCCCTCGGCCACTGCTAGGCCTGGGGCGCCTGCGCGGGGCGCCTGCGCAGTGCGCCTCCCTACACCCGCGCGCAGGGGTGCTCGCAGGGGTATCTCTGTCTCCCTCTTCCTCTGCCTTTGGCTGAAGAAAGTCCTGGGTCACCTATTAAATGAACTAGGCCCTCTCATCCATATACCCTGTGACCAGCTTGAAGAGAATTAAGAACTCTCAGGAAAATTCCAACCAAGTCAACACCAGGGACTGGGTGTCCTCATCCAGGCCCCCATCTCTACCCAAGTATTCAGCTGAGGTCCCCTCCCAGGACCCTGCAAGGCTTTGCTAGGCAGAGGACTTGTGATACTTAAGAGACTTATTCAAGGGCCTCAACCAGCCTACCTAACGGGATGGTGCGCCCCCCCCCCCTTCCTTCTAGCTGCGTGGAAAATGGTTCTGAAACACTGGCAGGAAAGCCATCTTTGACGTAGGAGGACATGGCCCATTCCCAGTCAAGCTTTGTTTCTCCTCGGGAGTCCTTCCCACTTAGGTCCTCCAAAAGGGCCTGCAACAGGCAGCCTCTAATGGTCATGAAAGAACAGCATCTTACCCTAACCAGGACCAGAGCGTTCCTTACGGCTTTACATTGACCCTCACCACAAACCCAGTGACCGGGCGGTACAGATCTCTTCATTACTCTTCCCTGTTCTGCACACCAACAGTAGGGGCTGTAGTCTGCTAGGGTAAGTATATATGACGACCCTGACAAATAGCGTTACAACCAAGGGGAAACAGGTTCAAGAAACCTAATTGGTTTGAGGTTACAGTGGTTATACAACCTGTGGGAAGCAGCACAGATTGTGAACCCAGTGCTTTTTCACCTAAATGAGGAACATCGAGGGACACAAGCCTCACGTACTTCTAGGCTGCAGCAATAACCCTTGGTGAGTGGGTCCTAGCTGCTGAGCACCAGTTTGGTGGAAGCTTGGTTAAGGAGCCTGATGGTGATAGGTCTTACTTATATCCACTAGCATACCCCAAACACACACTCCTCTTTCCCCCTCCGCTAACAGGAAATTATGAGCAGCTCATAGAGGAATACAAAACTAACACAGCCTCTTTGAGCAATTTCATTTCATATAGCTCCAACAAGAGGTGAAATGGGATGGGGTACATAAGAAGAATCAAGGTAATATTCAAGAAAGATGGGCAGGCAAACCACAGAACGGGAGAAAATGTTTACAAATCATATATCTGGTAAGTAAACAATTCCTCACCCAACAACAACAACAAAACAAACACCCACTCACTCCCCGCTCTGAGTCCACAGAGGATGCCCTTCCCTTACGGACAAGCTCCTGATGCGCCATTAAAAAGGGGGCAAAGGACTTGAACAGGCATTTGTCCAAAGAAGATATACAGATGGCCAATAAGCACATAAAATGATATTCAACATCACTATTCATTAGGAAAATGCAAATCAAAACCACAATAAGATGCCACTCACATCCACTGAGGATGACTATTATAAAAACAAAAACAAAACAAAACAAAACAAAATAGCAAGTGCTGGAAATTGTGGAAAAATTAGAACCTTGTATGTTGCAGGTGAGGATGCAAAATGGTGCAGCTGCTACGGAAACCGGTTGGGCAATGTCTCAAAAAGTTGAAAATAGAATACCATACTATCCAGTAATCCCACTTCCGGATGTTTACCCAAAAGTACTGAAAGCAGAGACTCGAACAGGTATTTGCACACCAGTGTTCCAGAAGCATTATTCACATAGGCCAAAAGGTGAAAACAACCCAAATGTCCATCAAAAGATGAAAGGATAAACAAAATGTGGTATACACAGACAATGAAATATTATTCAGCCTTAAAAAGGAAGGAAATCCTAACACATGCTACAACAGGGATAGACCCTGAAGGCATTATGCTGAATGAAAAGAAGCCAGGCATAAAAGGAAAAATATCGCATGATTTCACGTACATGAGACAATCAGAGTAGTAAAATTCATAGAGACAGAAAGTAGAACTGTGGTTGCCAGGACTGAGGTGAAAGAGGGATAGGGACTTACTGTTTAATGGACAGTTTCAGTTTAGCAAGATGGAGAAGTTCTGGAGATGGATGGTGGTGATGGTTGCACAACAATGTGAATTATTTAATGCAAGTGAACCATACACCCAAAAATGGTTAAAATGGTAAATTTTATGTTATGTATTATTTTACCACATTTTTTTTTTAAGACAAAAAAAAAAAAAGATAGGCAAAGGCCAGCTCTTCGAGGGTCTTTTATGCAATGCTAAGTATTTGGGACATCATCTTAAAGACTAAGCAGTATCAAGGGGAGAATGAGGGGTTAAGAGAGAATCTCCTATGCCTTAGTTGGGCAATGCAGGTAGTACAGTCCTAGAATAGAATCGCACATGAAACAGGCACTCAATGAATGCTGGTAGAATAAAGAAAGTAGAAATCCCGCCTAGTCTTAAATAACACCCCCTCCCCCATACACACCACCAATTTACATCAGGAGATAAGAGCAGGGAGAACTGCGTTTCCCCCAATAATGCTACAATGGCGTGCACCCAGTCTTGGAGGTCTTTCAGTCTGTCAGACTCCGGCTGTGGGCATAAAGGGGGCGCCCTTCCCCAGGGTACAGCTCCCTGTTTCCCACACACACCTCCAATCTGCCACCAAACCTGTATCCATGCTCCAACAGGCAGAGGGACAAAACTAGGAGAATCACAAACCAAGGATCAGTCTCCACCCTAGTAGTCACTAACTGGGTGACACAATGCAACTACCTGACCCTCTGAGTCAGACTCCTCCTCTGGGAGGTAAAGGGGCATGAGATGACATTCGCATCTTACAGCAGCCGTGACAACTGGACACGAGATAATGTACTCATGCTTACGCAAAACGCACGGCAGAGAGCTGCTCCCCGGTGCCCTTTGCTCTCTTGAATACAGGAAGCATGACACGGTGCCGAGATTCTGTCTGCACTGCCTCCGACCGCAAAAATGGGGGCGGCTGCACCCTGAGACCCTTCCATCTGGGACCTGGCACGGCTGGTACTCCGGCACTACGCGCAGGGAAGGCCAGGGCCTCCGGGAAACCCTGTACTCCGCGCTGCGCCGGGCTCTGGACCCCAGCAGCGAGGGCTGCTTGATTCCTCCACCGACCAGGAGCTAACGGAAATAAGTGTGGCCGGCCGGCAGAGGGGCACTGAGAACTTCCAGTCTCGGAGCTGCTGCCACGTGAAAACGTGGCCAAGTGTTGCCGGGTCATTCTTTTTTCTCCCTGAGACCCCAGAAATCCGGATTTGGGGGTAAAGCTTTGCAACTCTTAGACGCTAGCAACTAAAAAAACAAAACAAAACAAAACTTAAAGCAGAACGGCCCAACCAAGACGCCTCTGCTGGCGGAACCCAGCCTTCACGCGGCCAGTCTGAGACCCCCGTATCTACGCCAGGCTCGCCCCTGTATCGGCCCCTGGGAGGCAAAGCAGCTACTTACGAAGGAGGAGAAGGACGGGAGGAGGATCCTGAGGACATTGCACCCAAACACGAAGCTGAGCACCAGCAGCCACGCCCAGCGGTCAGCCTCCGCGCCGCTCATGCCGATGCTCCCGGAGGTGCCGGCTCCGCTAAGGTAACTCCATGGGGACCACGCCGGCGCCCACGCCGCGCGGGCGCCTGCGCAGTGAGGCCCAGCGGCCGCGGAGGCGCGCCGCCGCGCCTGCGCACTGTGCCACACTGGGCCGGGAGGCGGGGCCGTCTTTTCCTCTTGGTCATGGACGCTTTCCAGGTTACTCCTTGGCCTTTTCGGCTTCCGTAGCCTTTCCGCACCCTCCCCACCCCCCCGCCCCGGCCGCGGTTTTCCAAGCTCCGGTGGTTGGGCTGCCACCGGCTAGAGGTTTGTTGTAGCCGCGAGCCACTTGTTACAATTATATAGTGAGTGCTTTCTTTAAATTGACTTTTATTCCTAGATAAATTTATTTTAAAATAAGCCTCCCCATAAATGGAAAACTACCGTAATTATAGTAGCAAGTCACTGTAAAAAGAAACGTTTTGTAATCATATGTGAAATGTCTTGTTTATATTTTCAAAACACTGAAGTAAATCTAAACAATTTACAAAGCTGCATACCTGAAAAATAAGTATTAATCAGAAGGCACTGTTTACAATCAGCCTGTAATAACCTAAGTTTAGGTGAAATGAAGTTTTATGGCAAAATAATCCCAATTCATGTTTGCATATAGTAGATAAAGCAAAAGATATTTAGCTGGGGGCGCCTGGGCAGCTCAGTGGTTAAGCCTCTGACTCTTGATTTTGGGCTCAGGTCAAGATCTCAGAGTTGTGACATCTGGGCTCCCCACTTAGTGTGGAGCCTGCTTAGGACTCTCTCTCTCCTTCTGCCCCGCCCCACCCCCATCCCCGCCCCTTCCCACCCCCACCCCACCCTTCCATGTGTGTGCGTGGGTCCACTCTTTCTCTAAAAATAAATAATAAATAAAAATAAAATAAGAGATATTTAGTTGCCCCTTCTGCCAAGGTTGGATTTTTTTTTTTTAAGATTTTATTTATTTGATAGAGAGGTAGCGAGAGAGGGAACACAAGCAGGGGGAGTGGGAGAGGGAGAAGCAGGCTTCCCACGGAGCAGGGAGCCCGTAGGAGGGGCTCTATCCCAGGAACCTGGAATCAGGACCTGAGCCGAAGGCAAACGCTTAACGACTGAGCCACCCAGGCGCCCTAGGTTGGATTTTGAGAACAAATTCCAATCAAGGGAATCAAGGAGCTGTGGTTCTACTCTCTTCGCAAAATGAGCACACCTTTTAGAATTTCTAAAAGTAAGAAAGAGTTTTCTGGAGCCCAAGTTAGGACAGTTGCCTGGGAAACATGCTCCTCACAAGGAAGAAAGCGTTCTAGAAAAGTTTTTACAGGGTTATATACTTTTTTTTTTTTTTTGACAGAGAGAGAAACAGCAAGAGCAGGAACACAAGCAGGGGGAGTGGGAGAGGGAGAAGCAGGCTCCCCGCCGAGCAGGGAGCCCGATGCGGGGCTCGATCCCAGGACCCTGGGATCATGACCTGAGCCGAAGGCAGACGCTTAACGACTGAGCCACTCAGGCGCCCCTATACTTTTTTTACATCTTGTACAGGCTCAAAAGCTTACAGATTAGCATATAGGCAGGAATCATGAGTTTTATCACAGAGGAATGCCGGGGACAGCAGGATTGATCAGTATCTTAAGGACAAGATGGTTCTCCTTCAGGCTACGTATTCACAAAGCAGATGTACAATGCATGGGTGGCAGACCATAAATCAAGTTTTTGGTTTGAACAAAGTTTCTTAAGAGTCGTGTTGACTGAGAAAGAAATCTGAAATGGCGTTCCTTGCGTATCAGGGCTTTAGAGAGTTTTTCTCTCATCATTTCCCCCTTTTGATCAGTAATCTTTCGACAGAAAGCATTGGTGATCATTATTTTGCCCCTTGATGCCTGAGTGATTGCTTACCTGCCGTGGGCCCATCATGTCCCTCAACGCTAGGTTGGATTTAAGTCACCTAGGAGTCTATGTGTGTGTGTGGGGGGGGGGGGGGTTGTCAACAGAATGGCCTTTAACAGGGAATATTACAGTATATATATATTTTTTCAATCAGATCGAATCGTCATGCCAACATTGTGTGCTTTGTAATGAATTTTTGCCTTTGCATTTTTGTAACATTTATAACATAAATACAAAAATAGCAATAAAAATCCAATTAATAACATTTGAAGCAAATAATGGGGACTAGGTACAGAATGAGAAAAAGAATCCCTCCAAAAAATCCATTACAGGGGCGCCTGGATGGCTCAGTCGTTAGGCGTCTGTCTGCCTTCAGCTCAGGTTACGATCCCAGAGTCCTGGGATCCAGCCCCGCATCGGGCTCCCTGCTCTGCGGGAAGCCTGCTTCTCCCTCTCCCACTCCCCCTGTTTGTGTTCCCTCTCTCTGTGTCTCTCTCTGTCAAATAAATAAATAAAATCTTTAAAAAAAAAAATCATTACAGATATTTTGTAATATTGAATTAACTTGAGTATCTATTTCCTTTATCTGTAGTTATTTGTGCCTTGTGATATGTTTGAACTGATTGGTTTAAAATGGTAATTAAATTTTGTTTTTGTTTTTTTTTAGATTATTTATTTATTTATTTGGGAGAGAGAGAGAGAGCATGAGAGGTGGGAGGGTCAGAGGGAGAAGCAGACTCCCCGCCGAGCAGGGAGCCCGATGTGGGACTCGATCCCGGGACTCCAGGATCATGACCTGAGCTGAAGGCAGTCGCTTAACCAACTGAGCCACCCAGGCGCCCAGATTTTCTGTTATTATATGTAACAATTTCTCTGGCCAGTTAGTTTCCATAGATATTACATCTTGTGGTGGTTGTGATTCTATCTCCCAAAACATTTGGTCATGAATATCAATATTAGTATGATTTTTGTTAGAATCAGGCAGTTCTATTTGAGATAGAAGGCCAGTATTACACCATATAGGAGTAGAGTTAAGATGAAAAATACTCTTGTTACAAAATAAATCAAGGAGTATTACAGAGGTGGGGTTTTTTTTTAAGAATTTATTTATTTATTTGAGTGAGAGAGAGAGAAAGAGTAAGAGAGTGAGCACAAGCAGGGGGAGGGCAAGGGGCAGAGGGAGAGGGAGAATCAGACTCCCCACTGAGCAGGGAGCCCAACACGGGTCTCAATCCCAGGACCTTGAGATCATGACCTGAGCCGAAGGCAGACACTTAACCAACTGAGCCACCCAGGCACCCCTGCAGAGGTGTTTTGAAAACCTTCCCAACAACATCTTCTTTTCCCATATACCATACGTTAGTTTGTACAGGCCAAGTTGGAGTGAATTCAGGGCTCCATTGTTGTTTAGGGCCTAACCATATATTTTTCCTGAATTCACAGATATCAGAAGATACAAGAATCCAGTAAGAATCACTGCCTATTAAGGCCCATCTTCCTCCAATGGCAAGAACTTTGGTGGTATTTATAATAGTTTCTATTCCCACTATGACACTGAAATAAGTCTAGTTAGCCATAAGTTTGGATACCAAGGCAGTAATTGAACATTTATATAAGTTACAAGGGTCTTTAATGATTTTTCCACAGATTAGGAGAGCTGTACATTTTGGGTTTCTGCAGCCATTGACCCATAATTACCTCAGAATCTTCTGGGATGGGGCGCCTGGGTGGCTCAGTTGGTTAAGCGACTGCCTTCAGCTCAGGTCATGATCCTGGAGTCCCGGGATCGAGTCCCGCATCGGGCTCCCTGCTCGGCAGGGAGTCTGCTTCTCCCTCTGACCCTCCCGACCCTCCCCCCTCTCATGCTCTCTCTCTCTCAGTCTCTCTCTCAAATAAATAAATAAAATCTTTAAAAAAATAAAGAAAGAAAGAAAGAAAGAAAAAGAATCTTCTGGGATGAATGGCAAAGTTAGATTTAGGAGATGGCTGAATCCACCAAGTCACTTCTAAAGTAGCATCTTTGATAGATGCCCACTGTTTTTTCTTGTTTTGTCTTAGGTCGCTCCATCTACGAAAACATGGTTTGTGAGTACACTGGATAATTCGGCATGTTGGACAAGCGGTTGCTAAGTTTCTCCCGTTGTACCTGGGGACCTTTCTTCATACATTATCATCTAAGTTTATAGAGACACAATGGTCAATCTGTTGAGTATTATATATATTGTAGGTTAAATCTGAGTTACGTAGCACTTCTTGAAAGGCTTTTCCTAATAGAGGTAATTTGTAAGCACCAGTGTAGCTACGGGAACATTAGAGTAAGTCCAAAAGTTCATCAATATTTCATCTAAGTTCTCATTATAATAAAGTACTCCGGTAATATTCAAAGTTATATTAGTTAAATCTGCAAGTAACCATGATATTTTATCAGGACATAATCAAGGGGGAGGTGAAAGCAAACAAGTAGATTTACTATCTTCTAATACCACAATTTAAAAAAAAAAAAGAGGGGCGCCTGGGTGGCTCAGTCAGTTAAGCGACTGCCTTCGGCTCAGGTCATGATCCTGGAGTCCTGGGATCGAGTCCCGCATCGGGCTCCCTGCTCGGCGGGGAGTCTGCTTCTCCCTCGGACCCTGCCCCCCTCTCATGCTCTCTGTCTCTCATTCTCTCTCTCTCAAATAAATAAAATCTTTAAAAAAAAAATTAAAAAAAAAAAAAAGAGTAGAAATACAAGCCTGGTCCCAAATCTTGGGAGAGCAGTCTTTACTGGTGTCACCTACCCCTCATCCTAGTTTGTAGCTCAAATGTCTCTGATGATCCTTCAGTGCCCCACTAAACAATTAGACACAAAGATTTTGTCTATTCGTGAGCTATTGCGGTGACTTCTTTACATCATTTATTTTTTCCGGTTTGCAGAGCTTCGGGGAAAAGGACAGTTTTAATTCTCAAATGATTCTAAGTCAGAAAGGTGGGAGAAAAATCAAAGTGTTAGTTTGAAGAGTTGTAGCCAGGCATTGGAGGACACTAAAAGAAATCAGAATCAAGGGGCGCCTGGGTGGCTCAGTCATTAAGTGTCTGCCTTTGGTTCAGCTCATGATCCCAGGGTCCTGGGATTGAGCCCACGTCGGGCTCCCTGCTCAGTGGGGAGCCTGCT